ATGGAGGTGAGAGAGAGACAGATGGACGACATGCAGTATACAAAACAGCTCTCCTCCCACTCATGCTCATGGCAGATAATTGACTCTTTTAAAAATCTAATTACTTTCTTCTGGCAAGGGCAGATTGGACAATTCTGAGACACCTGCTGGCACATTGTTGTTTTGAAGCCAAGAGGGTGGAGGGAACAGACAGAATGAAGAAAGAATTATGTTAGGAAAAATAATCATTTTCTTCTTGAAATGTTAAAAGAGATAGACGCGAGTAGTGTATAGAAATGGTAACTTACAAGAAAATATCAAGAGGTCCTTATTAATTACCCCCACAGGAGTTGATTAGTTCCTGTGCAATTAGTAATGAAAACTCTATTTATGATAATACTCGAATTTCTTTATTGTTCCTATGGTCTTGTAATAGACTCATAGAACCTTACAGCTGAAAGACACAGGGATCGTTCAGACTCAACCCTGAATTTTACATGAGAAGACTGTAGAACAGGGGCCATAAGAACACACAGCGCCTCTGAGAACACGATGGGTTTCCATCCTGCACAGCTCTTTACAAACCACAATTTAAAACCCAGCCATTGACTCTCTCAGGAAAGTCATATTGTTCCACTTCATAGAAAAGAAAATGGAGGTCCAAAGGTTTGGTAACTGATCCTAAGTCCCATGATTAGAAAATGCTGCAAGCAGACCTGAATCTTATCAATCTGATTCCAAAGTCCACGTTCCCCTTATGTCTCTATACCAGGGAATCAGAAAAGCTCCTACAACCAACAAAGGACGATAAACCTGCATCCAGAATGCCAATCCCAGCCCATGAACGGGGCTTTGCTCACTTTATCCAGTCCCACAAGAAGCTGGGGGTTTCTTCTGTTACCCGTCTGTTACTGACAGGCCAGCTCTTACTTAAGCTGTTCCTGGCATTAGTCACTGCCTCAGGGACCTCGGCTCACAGTAGTCTGAACCCCCAGACTCTTCAGCGTCTGCCACCATTTGACTAGGATTCACATATAGAAAGCTATTTCCTTTTTTAGCCAGTAAGTGCTCTGGGCTGTGGCAGTGTCTACTGATGGCCTACCAGCTAGCCAAACAGCAGGTTCCAGCATCTTGTAGCTCTCATATCGTAACAAGAACAATAGGAACAGTCATAGCCAGATGATGGACTCGTGATTTCTAAGAATTAGACGGACCAGGACTCTGATTTCATTCTTCTCAGTCAAGTGATCTCAGTTTCCAGCTCAAAAACAAGTGAGAACGTTTAATTGTGGTCACTAATGGATTTATGAATACTTGGAAGCATCTAGAACACTACTCACCACATTGGAGGCTCTAGTAAAACCTGTCAACTATGACCCAATTACCCAATTACACCCAATCACAGTGAACTTCAAGGTACAAGAAACACAACTAACAGGCTAGTGACATTGCAAGTTTCTCCTGGCACTAGGTACCAGAAGGCAACTGTCAGGGATGAGAAAAACATGGGAGGTTGGAAGGGCACTCATGCTTCTGTAAGATAGATGGATGTTTCACTAGACATCAAGACCCCCTGAGCAAGACTTAGGAAAAGAGAGGGGGCTGAGGCCTGCTCAGATCAGGTTCCTCTTGTTCCTAAGGAAGGCACAGCCTGCCTCATATATACTTTAGCACTTGAGCATGCGCTGTGGGATTGAGGAACCAAAGCCCTTTAAATGTGTTCATAGCTAAAGGCTTTGAATCTAAGCAGACTAGGTCTACTGGAGAGGGAAAGGGGAACTTAATCTCTTGTAAACTGGGGACCAGAGACATCTTGGCTGGCCACTTCTGCCTTCTTCTGAAGTTCTGAGCCAAGAACTTTTCAGGATGCATGGGATTCTGGAAGTCTTTTATGGACACCAGTATTACCATCTCATGAAGGAAGCTTTTTCCAGCTCCAGCTATTTTTCTGTGGCTTTAGGCAGATGCATTTCTTTCCTGAACCACAACCCATTAGTATAGATAAAGGCAGTTGGGTGAAATGGTTGCCAAGGCCTGATAGCCCCAAGTTGGTGCATCTGGAGAACCCAGAACTTGCCCAGTTGTAAGAGGTGTGGCAGCAGAGTGGCAAAGTCAAGAGGCAAATCAGAATTTCTAACCCTTAGCTTAGGTGTTGGTAAGAACAGTCATAGGTGGAAGAATCATCTGTAACTCATGAAAGCAAGCAAGACCTTATCAGAATGGGATGCCATGGCTGGCACTCATTGAGAAACAGCTTTTGTATCAAATGAAGTGTCAATCAATGAGCCTGGGACTGAGGACCAGGTCTGCTGGATTTGACCTTACTGCTTTGTCACTGATTGAACAACTATTGTGGTAGTCATTTAAGATACCAGGCTGGGGCTGCAGCTCAGCAGTTGGTGCCTGTGCTCATGTACCTGGACCCCACTGTTCAATGTGCAACAGAAAACGGGCTTTGTGTGATGCTAACTAAGCCTTTCGGAAGACTTTCTCTTCTGTAGCTGTGGATCAGAGACATTAAGTAATTTGCCTTAAGTCACGTAGTTAATTTCCAGACCCATACCCACCTTCTTCCTTTTGCCCTGCGTCTGAGACGCTGACCTGTCTCTCTGTGTGGTTTCAATCCCTCTGATTCTGAATCCTCAAAACTCCATTTATTTATCAAAATGATTGGATTCTTAGACTTTTCTTGCCAGTTACTTGCTAAAATGTCAGGAACAATTGATCCAGAAATCAGTATTAAGCTGTCATTCACAAGTCAACCTCTTCCCACAATAGGAAGGAAGTCTGCTTTTCTCACAGAAACCTCCAGGTCTTCCAGGAAAATGAGCATCCCCCCTCTCTGGCTAGCTCAATCCTTGAGCCCAGAGCCAGGCCTACAGGCGGGCACCCATTCATATAGAAGGCTGCTGAAATCCCCTGGGGAATAGTCCTTCCCTGGGAGACAGCGAGCTTGACCTCAGTGACATCGGATCCCTTGGCTCAGGGGGTCTCAGGTCTCCTACTTCAGTCCTGAGTGACAGACAGGCAGCTCACCTGTCCCACTTTAACTGGCAGTCTCCAGAGATGTGTTCAACCAGTACCCGAGAGGCCAGATGGTACTGTGGCAGCCACGGTGACTGCTGTAGTCTGTGACTGTCTACTATCTGTAACCTCTACCAGCCAGTGGAGGGGAGGAGGGGCAATTGGTCAGGCAGGCAGGCAGGCAGGTAGTGTCTGCCAAAGCTCAGGATTGCAGAGATGCTTAAATGGAAGCCTGTCTCAGGGAAAGATGAGAAAGAAGAAAGAAACTTAGCAAAGAATAAGGGTCAGAGCAGGGAGCTATCCCCAGAAACTCATGTTCCCATGCTAGGTCTTGGTCTCTTTGTCAAGAGAGAAGTTTGACTGGCCACTTTGAGACTTCTTCCAGGACTAGGAGGGGGCATAGACTGAGGCAGCTAAGAGGTAAGAACAGAGACCAGTGTCAGGAGCCCAGCCAGACACTACAGGAGTTCCAAGGCAGAGCAACTTGACTTGGTAAGTACCATGGAGCTGTGAACATCACTTGTAGGAAAGACATGGCCCAGAAAACATCCCTCTTGGGGTTTTCCACTCTCCACTAAGGGTTCCTTGTTGGCAGCTGCTTGCTGAGTGAGGAAAGGGCCTGGTGGGGCAGCCAGGGTTTGCAAGCTCCAAACAGCTCTGCTGCCCCAGGGGTGGGGGTGGAGACCTGACAAGAAGGTAGAAAGTCCAGCGCTGTCCCTAGAGAGCAGTGAATCAGGCTCTGGGCTGGGCTATGCCTCTGGGGACAAAGAGTAGAGTAGAAGTTAGAGGTGGCTTAACCTGCTACTGTGAAAGTCAGGCTGGCACACCTGCTAGCTTCAGTGTGAGGCCAGTAGAGAAGCTTCCAGTCCACCACGGTCCTGTCTCCTCTGGTGAGCATCTCTTGGTTTCAGGTCTCTCTCCGTCCACTGCCCTTTCTTCTCTAAGGCCAGCCTGGCCATGGCATCTCTAAACCTTGGCCAGGAAACACCCACCTTAGCAATGAACTGAGGAGTGACCAGGAGTCCCCATGATGGGCACTGGGCGGGGGTACAGGAACAAGGGGGCAAAGATTGTAAACCTAAACCATCGTGTCAAGTGTTGCTTTTTAAGTGGCTCTGAGTTGCACTGGAGCCTACGGAATCTAATCACAGTTTTGCATGGCGTCATCACTACAAATTGGACCAGAGAGGGTCCTTCTACTTCCAACGTTTCATGGGAGAACAATGAGAACCAGAGGAGGAAGTGTCACGCCCAAGGTCACATAGCTACTCAAGGGACCACCCCAGGTTTCCCACCCCCAAGTCTGGGTTTTATTGCCATATGATCAGAAGAGAGGCAAGGGGCTCACAGCAGCTCTGCCTCACACTGCCCGTAGGATGGAGCCGTCAGGCCTCCTCCCTCTGGTTACCTCTCTGGGTCTCATTAGCCTGTTTACCTGACCTCAGGGGTAGCTGGGATTCTTGTGTATGGCCGCTCCACAGTGGGGACATGAGACGCAGCAGGAAGCTAAGCAGAGAATATTTTTAAACTGTCCAACATGCCTTATGAAGAAAAAAAACAAAAACTAAAAAAACTCAAGGCACTCTCCTAGATGCTGTGGAAAGCATTTCAAAAGAGATTTCATGCCTAGAGAAAACATTGTAAAACACTGTTGGTTTTTTGTTTTTAAAGGGCCAATTCCCACTTAACAAAAGTGCCTGGCAATGGACTAGTGACCCACTTGTTAAATGCCCCTGGAGCACTGCATTTGCATGGGTGGGGAGCAGATTGTCACCCGACCCCACTCTCTTTTCTACAGCTCCTGGAGATCACCACTAAGCCTTCCTACTTAATTTAGCCAAGATTCACTAGGGCAGGAATAGAGAAGGATAAGGAATCCACTCATAGGTACACAGGGAGATTTGCTTCTTACTCAGCCTCTGGAGAGGCAAGTCTGTCTCTGAGCTACTTCCCGCTGATGTGTAGTTTTAGCTTTTAAAGTTCAAGTCCACCCTTACCTGCTTCCTTTCCTCCGCCCTGGAGCTGGCTTCTTCAGGCTCTGGCTGCTGTTCAACTGCCCACTGTTATTTGCTCTTGATCCCGTCGGTTGCTCCCGCCCACCCTCTTTTTAACCGGTATCCCATCGCCCTCCCTCCTCCCACTTCTTCCTCCTCGTTCTCTCTCCACCCCTTTCCCCCTCTGGGTCCCTCCCTCCCCTCTCTTTTGTGCTTAGAATTTTGCACTCATTTTAAAAGTCCTCTTCCCTCCCCTCTCACCAGCGGAGAAAGACACCCCACCCCCACCCCACTGCCCTCCGCTGTCCCTGTCCCGGTGACTGTCCTTGTCTTGGAAATCCGCAATCGGCAGTCCACGCACTTGCTAGCTCTCAGCTGGCTCAGGCACAGCCTCCCTGGGACTTTTTCTGTCCATCTCTCTCTGTGTCGCTGAGGCTACAGAATTCTGCTGTCCTGAAGCACCCAGAGGAAAATCCCTCTTCCCAGTTCTTTTTCTGTCACCAGAAAAGAAGATGTCTGTCCACACAGCAAATCCCCCAGGAAGCCCAGGAAAAGGTAATTCTCCGAAGCCACAGCCATTAGACACCCCGAGTGGGCACAAGATTTAACATGAATGGTCAAACCCCCTTAACCTGGGTTTCCAAATGGTGGAGCTGTGATTCCCACCAAACAGAGTGTTCTCGCTTCCTCTTCCCCTCCCTTTTCTCCTCTAACCAGAAGACAGCATCTTATGTGTGCCTGGGCACTGGGCTAGGGGCTTCACACACGTGGCATGTTTTGTTCCACTTCATTATCTCAGTTTCTGATTTCATACTCTGCAATGTCTCTGAGGAAACAGACCGTCAGAGAAATTAAGTAATAGGATCATAGCGACTCAGTTGCACGGCAGGTTGTGTTTTAGCCAATGCCAACATTCACTTTCTTGGACAATCTGAGGAAGTCTGTAGATGTCCCTGGTATAGCTAAACCAGGGAAAGATCTTAGAATAGTATTTGTCACAGGAGAGCAAATTCAGAAATCGTTGCCTCAGACCACCCTCTTCTTCCACCTCGTACCAACTCCTCTATTTAAGCATTAAGCCATGGGCCCAGAGGAGCTGTGACAAATGTCTGAGGTGGGAGTCTGAAGTCAGACAAACCAATGACTAAGAGCCACAACTATGACAGCTGAGGGAGAGAATCTCAGAAATTATTTGCAACAGCCAGGGAAACTGAGGGACAGTCTAGACTCCTTAATGGTGTCATATACACAGTGGGTGGCAGGTGCCAGGCCAGCACACAGATCTCTCTTATTCCACAGCCATCTACTTGGTGCCCTCCCCAGCCAGAGCTCATCACAAACAGACTCCACCTTCTATTAGTGAACAAGCCAAGGACCAGCAGGAGAGGACAGAATGTGGGGCTTCTTCTATGGGACTGGGAGAAGGAAACAGTTCTTATAAAAAAAAAAATTAAAAAAAGGAATCTTGATTCCTTAGCCACAGGTTCCCTTGCCAGAATGTTCTAGGCCAGCCTATCTGGGTTTGAATCCTGGCTCTGCTACTCTGTAGCTGAGAACAATACTGGGCAAGCCACCCTCCATGAAGCTCAGGTTTTTCAGCTGTAAGCTGGGGGTTATAATGTCTGCCTCTCGAGGTTGTCACCAGAACTGATGAAGATATGTGAGGATTTAGATTGGCTAGTACCGAGAGGTACAGAGGGTATGACTTCAGAATGCAGCACAGAGTGGTGCTGCACACAGCCTGATCCCTCTCCACCTGTGCCTACTACGGCTAGGATAGAGTTCAGCCCTGATGCCAGCATACAGCCCTGGGTCCCAGGGGTCCCTGTCCCCATGCTGACTTTGTCCGTACTTTAAGCCACTCCACAAAACAAGGCACTTGGGGACACATTATTACCTCTAGGCAGGGATAGTTGGTTAAGATCCCATGAAGTCTCACCTGGGGGTGATCTGAAAGTGGGGAAGATTTAATGGAATATTAATTCATAGATTGTGGGTCTTCCAGAGGAGAATCTAAATGCCAGTGATGTAATAGGTCATCAAGGAGACAGAGAGGGTACCATTTTCCTTTGAGAACCTAGAAGGGAAGACATGCCTAGATGTAGGCACACCTGTGTGGATGGACAGTTCAGGGCATAACAGGAAAACACCACCATCCTACCTGGAGATTAGAGAATTAATCAGTAGGGAAATTAGGTGGGGCCACTAGAGACACTCCAGGAAGCTGTGTCCAGGGAGTTATGCTTAAGGCTCAGCACGACATCTAGGCAGAAAATATTTTGATGGACACAAACTAAGAGGTTTTGGGAGAACTTGATAAGAGTGTCTTATTTCTTGTGAGAATCTTTCTGAGACTAGGGCAAGAGTTTAACAAAAGTAAGGAAAATGTCGTTCATGTTGTAAGTCTGGAGTAATTTTCTAAAGGGACCCAGTATAGCTGTCACTACAAACCAGAGAAGGACATCATGAGCAGATACCCAATGCCCTAGAAAGACCTCAGGACAAGGGCCTGGGATAAAAACAGATATCCTGGTGTGCTCTCCCCTTCTTCTTCATGTTCATTGTAAAAAGAGTCCCAGAGAGAGAGGGAGGGCTCCACACATTAAAAATGGTGCTGCAAGGAAACTCTACTCAGCAGCATGGGGCACAATTCACAGTTTTTCCACTTTTAAATGAAAATATGGAAAAATGATCTAAGGAGTGTTGTTGTTGTTGTTGTTGTTGTTGTTGTTGTTTTCAGATTACTTTCTTTCAAATTATTTGTGCTTATCTGTGAGTGGATGTGTATCCATGAATGCAGTACCCACAGAGGCCAGAAGAGGGTGCCAGGTCCCCCTGGATCTGGAGTTCCAGGCAATTGTGAGCTGCCGGTCATGAGTGCTAGGAACCCAACAAGGGTCCCCGAGAGACAAGCAATTGCTCTTAACCCCTGAGCCATCTCTCTAACCCAGAGAAAAACAATCTCATGAAGCCATGTGTATTACATAAAGATCATGGCCTTGATCAAGACTCATTGGCCACCTACAATGGCTCAGTCAATGCTGAAAAACAAAGGCCACAAGGAGGTGGTGTTCTAATTGCAAAATAGAGTTCTTAACCATAAAACAGTTAATATAAACTCAGTATGTACAAGAAATTGCAAACCATGGGAGGGAAAAATCATTTGAGCGGTTGCTTTGTTGTGTTATAGCAAAGTGAAATTTGAACACTTCACAGCACTGCACGATAAACAATATGCTATTGTTCCCATTTTAATGTAAAGAAAGTTCACACTCAGAGAGGTTGAATAACTTGCAGGGTTACTTAGGACATGAAGAAAAGTCCTGCCTGGTGCACAGACTCACCACTTTGTCCTACAGCTGTATGGACTCCTCTGATACAGAAAGAAAGAAGGCCAGGGCACCCCAAGGCAGAGCATCAGAAGCATGGACCCCACCCTCAGCAAGAGGCTGCACTACCTGTAACTACAAAGGTGTCTCATGGTCTGAGATTTCCTCCATCTCCAAAGTCTTTTAAAGCTGGCATCTCAAAACTCGCTACCTTCCCCCCTTGTCTCTAGAAGCAAGGAGAGAAATGAGGAGACAGATTTTCCGTGTCCTCTTCACTCAGTGAATCTCTTGCTCTTCAGGTTTCCCTCCCAAGACACTGCGGTGCAGATGTTTTAACAGCTACCTCCTTTGCAGCCGACATGGTAACACATGCAAGTAATTCCTGTCAGCAGCTAATTGCAGGAGCAGTGAGTCCCCAGTGCCTAATTGGAGGGTGTAAATGGGCAATTGGAGCTGTGGTTAGTGGGCTGAGGTCACACTTTTCTGCTGGTTGAGAAGCAAACATAGCAGGCTTAAGTCATTCCCTTTAGGACATTTACTATCCAGATAGTGGCAACAAACAAACAAGCAAGCAAGTAAAAACCCACTTTGTTCCAAGAAGCAGAAAGCAAATGAAACTCAGACTTTCTCCTTCCTGATGTTTTGTTCTCTTCTCTCATCACATTTCAAGTTTTTAATCCCCAAAGGCAAGGTTAAAATTTTATCCAGACCTAATCTTGGGCTTAGGAGTCCTCTGGGATCTCAGACTTCAGAACTCTTTTGTGGCAGGCTGAGCCAAAAAAGAGGAGGACAAGGAAGAGGAACGGTTCCATCACCCTCATGGTCACCATCACCGTCAACCTAATGCCAGGCAAGTCTGATTCTTTCCCACTAAAGTCAGAGTGTGGGGGCAAATACTAAGCCCCCAAGAGTCCAGGACTGGAGATTTCATTCAACAAAAATGTGGGATCTTTGCCTGGGACATCTTGGAAAGGCGTTTGTTCTCCAAGTCTAGGAAATCCTTGAAACTAAACTAATGAGCCTTAAATGTTGGTCCTGTTACAGACAAGGTCTAGAGCTCCCAGCTGAATACCAACCTAGATTCCTTCCTCCTTTCTTCCTTCCCTCCTTCTCCCTTCCTTCCTCCTTCCCTCCCTCCCTCCCTCCTCCATCCTTCCTTCCTTTATTCCTTCCTTCCTTCCTTCCCTCTAACAAGGGATGCAACCTTGCCTAACCTCTGCCCCACAAGGATGAAAGAGAACTTGCTTCTCCTTTGAGTGCAAGGTCTAGTACTCGGTAGTTATACTGGTTAGTTTTTGTAAACTTGACACAAGCCAGGGTTATCTGTGAAAATGAAATTAATTCAAAAGTTGCCCCATTAGGTTGGCCTGTGGACAAGTCTGTGGACTCATTTTCTTGATTAATGATTGACATGGGAGTATCATGTGGTACCACCCGTGGGTCGGTGGTCCTGACTTGTATAGGAAAGCAGGCTAAGTGAGCCATGGGGAATAAGCCAGGAAGCAGCACTTCTCCATGGCCCCTGGGTTAGTTCCCACCTCCAAGTTCCTGCCTTGTCTTCTCTCAAATGGTGAACTATGACCCAAGGCGTCAAATGAACCCTCTTCTTCTCAGGTTGACTTTGGTCAGCTTTTTGTTTTTGTTTTTTTTTTTTTTTGGTTTTTCGAGACAGGGTTTCTCTGTGTAGCCCTGGCTGTCCTGGAACTCACTCTGTAGACCAGGCTGGCCTCGAACTCAGAAATCCGCCTG